CCGGAGCGTGCTGCCCAAAGGGCCGCCAGTGCCATCCATCAGCGCTGCCAATGCCAGGAGGCCAAAGCCGGAGGAGGTTGAAGTGGCCGCATCACCCCCGCCCAGTGCCAGTCTGGCCCCCGGTGCCACCCAGCCTCTCTCGGCATCCGCCCCTCGGGCCGGGGGCTCCTTCGAGATCCACCCGGCCCCCAAGCCCGACCTGGCTGCCATCCCTGCTCACGACCTGCAGGCGCAGGCCTTGGCCAAGCTGCGCCTGAATTCACGCAACTCCTTCCTCTTTGTGCCCCGCCGGGAGGGTGGCACAGCTCTGCCTGCTGCCCAGAGCCATGCAACGGGACCATCACCACCACCATCCCCGCAGCAGAAAGTACAGAAGGAGCCCCCACGGGTTTCCGCTCCGGAGCAGGAAGAGCCGATCGCTTCCCCGCCGGCGCCTCTGGATCCGTCGGTACCTGTGACTTACATTGATGACATTGTGGAGCCGGACAGCGGGGAGCTCTCCCCGAGGGCTGTGAGGACAGAGAACTTGGATCAGCCCAGAGGAACCGGCCCTGAGCTGGAGATGGAGATTTCCTCTGTGCCCCTCTACAGACCGCACTCCCCCGGGCTCCATCAGAGGGGAGGTAACACCTTCACTGTGGTGCCCAAAAGGAAGCCCGGTGCCTCGGGGCCGCAGGGTCTTACTGAGGCTGGTGGGAGGCCTCAGCAGGAGGAGGAGGAGGAGGATGAGGAAAGCAAAGGAAGAAGCAAAGCTGTAGAGAACGCTGATGGGCCCCAGGTGGGGACGTCCCATAAAAAGCGCTACCCCACGGTGAACGAGATCGAAGTGATCGGCGGCTATCTGTCCCTGGAGAGGTCCTGCATGAGCAAGACGGGCTCCCGCCGCAAGAAGGTAATGGCCTGGAGCACTGCTCTGAGCAGGGAGGCCCAAAGCAGCTCCTCACTGCCCTTGGCGTGGCTTCTTGCAGATGTTCTGCTGGGCAGGGAGGTGGGCAGCTTGGGGTGGGGTGCGCTCCGTGGTAACCGCAGGGCCTGTCCTGCAATCTCTTCTTGGAGATACAGTGACAGAAAGTGAACTGACTGGGGGATGTAGGATTGGAGGAGAGCTGTGCGGGTGGAATGGCTGTGGCTGTCCCTCAGCCCTCCCTGTGCTGTGTGCACTGAGCTCCCAGGGATTGCTGGCGTTGCAGAGCACAGTGCCCTCCTTGGATTAGGGATCTATTGATAGAGGCTCAGGAATTAGGTCTCTATTAGGCAGAAAGAGATGAGAGCCAGCTTAACTCCTCCTGATGGGATTATGCCACCTGCCTGCTCTGTGGGACAGCAGCTGCCGCTCAGCTCTCAGACATGCAGGGTTCACCCATTGCTCCGAGTTTCCTAAACTAAGAGTTCACACAGCTTCACAAAACACGTTGGGATGTGATGGAGGCACAGCGTGCTGGCAGAGCTGATGTGCTGAGATGTAGGCGTGAATTGTTCTGCTTGCCATAATGACAGGCAGCACAGGCACTGTGTCACTACAGACCCTGATTTCTGGGTTTGTGACATGTTTTTCCATAGCAGGCAGAGCTGTTTGACATTCCGTTACCTGAATTCCACGAGGGTTTGATGGACTGAATCCACGCAGGTGCCTGAGACACTGAGCAGCACAGTGCGAGGGAATCCTTTGAATGGGATTCATCTCATTTGGGAGAGAGGCAGCGAGTGCTGCTCCTCTTGGCTTAGCGTTCTTAAGTTCCTTCATAGGAGCTATCAGCAGGTATTAATCAAGGCAGGTGGCAGATCTGAAGCATGAGAGCTGTGCAGCAGAACAGGAAATCTGCTCAGGTGTTGCCATCCTTTAAGCAGTACAAAAAGGAGGAAGAGAGGTGAGGACAAAGCTAGTGCAGCGTGTTGTTGGAGGTGGACAAACGCTGCAGAAGGACACACAGGAGCCCTGGCACCTCCATCCCTGGGGCTGTTTGAATGCGTGCTCTGATCCGCTTGGACCTGCTCCAGGCAGGACTTTGGGAGAGAGGCATCCAGAGCTCTTTCCCAGCCTGAGGTACTACTGTGTGTGGCTCTTTGGCAGCTGTTGTGTCTGCAGTGTTGGCTTTGCGTGATGTTGGAGCCGTGGCAATGGCTGTCTGCTCTGCAGGTGTCTGGGAGATGAAGGGCAGTGATGCTGCAGGGCTTGTGCACATCAGCAGTGGAGCTTGCTAAGGGTTGTGGGGGTGTTCTGTGTGGGATCTCACTTCTGAGAGAGAGGTTAAAGGCGAAGGAGTGATGAACTGTCACAGTGCAGAGGCTGAAATAAATGCAAAAACCCTTTAGGAAAGGAGGCCCAGCCTTTGGAGAGCCTTGAGTTCCTGGGTGAGATGCAGCCTTGCTGTGGCTGCGCGTGGTTTTGTGCCTGCTCCTTTCCCTGCACAGAGCACGGTGTGACTGCAGCCAGGATCTGGGGGATGCTGTAGCAAATGGAAAGAGTTCTGTTTACTCTTAACCTAGAGGATGTTTGTGGCTTTTACTCTGGATAATGAGGCTGAGTGTTGATGCCTGAAAAGGAAGGAGTTTGCATGAGAACGCATTCCTTGGTCTCTTCCCAAGAGATCGCTGTGTGTCGTCAAGGCAACCGGCCAAAAACATGAGTTGTGTTTTGTAGATATGTTGGGCTTTTCAGAAACTTGGTTTTGGTCTGAGCTGGGCAGGAGCAAACATTTCTGTGTGCTCGCATTGGGCTGCTGAGCCACCCATCCCTGCAGGCTGGCCCCAGCCCATCCTGGTGGCTCTGGGTGCCAAGCCCTGCTTGCGGCCTCTCTGTGGCCCCGGGCTTCTGGGTGCTGCTGCTGCTGCTGCTGCTCAGGGCCCTTTGGAAATCAGCTTTATTGCTTCTTTCAGATGCCTCAAGTGTGCAAAGCGACTCTTTGTTTTGGGGCTGGGGCTGTCTACTCCAGCTGGACAGTGAGCTGGTGGTGGGAGGAGAAGTGCGAGGGGGATGGAAGAGCTGCCCCAGCTCTTTAGTAGAGGCAGCTTGAGCTGCTGAGGTGGGACAGGCGTTCACTGAGCTGTGATGGTGAATGTGGGGTTGTGTGGGACCAAGGGGGGTAGAGACCTCACTGTGCTCTCAGTGGGGAGTGGGCTGCCTGTATGGGCAGGAGGCTGAATGCTCATCTTCCTGCAGGTCTGTCCCGGGGCCATGAGGATCTGTCCCTCTGCTCTGTGGCCATTCCAAGAAACCTCTCCATGTGGCTCTGGGCAGCCTGGTCTGGTGGTTGGCAATCCTGTGCTTAGCAGGGGGTTGAAACTAGATGATCGTTGTGGTCCTTTCCAACCCAGGACATTCTGTGATTCTATGGTATCACCATCAGTGCAGGTGCAGCAGTGCGGTGGCTGCGGGAGAGGCTGGCTGAGCTGTCAGCTCGGGCAGTGAGGACAGGATACGTGCACAGGGATGGGAGGAGACCTACTGACCCTTGTTCTAAACGAGGCACCGGGGAGAGGATGCAGAGCGTGGCTGTGACCTCTGTTCAGTGCTCATCTTCATCCTCCCTTATGGCAGCGGAAGGGAGGAGACGTCGGTCTGCCAGCAGCCCCAGGTGCAGCCTTGCTGCAGGGTGTGGATCTTTTGGATCTCTGAGGATAAAATTTGGCTTGGGTGAGTTGACAGGAAGCAATCCTTGGTTACGTGCCAAAATAACGTACCTGGGGTTGTCAGCGTGGTAGGAATCTGAGTTTCTGTGCAATGAGGCATGTTGGAGTGAGTGCTAGAGAAGGACTGCCAGCTGCTGGGCCTGGTGGGGAGCCCACGAGTCTGTCTGGCTTCAGGCTTTGTGCTTTAAGCGTGATGGAGTTTGGGCTTGCCCATGAAGTTCTGCACGCACAGAAGGTGCTCGGGCTGTGCTCATCCCTTATGTCTCACCAAGTTCATCCCCAGACCCAGTTTTTGCCCTTTTGGGGAAGCTTTAGGAAAGGTGACCTCTAAGACAGGCATCCGAGTCCTGTGGGTTTCAGGGTGTGAGAGCCAGCAGGCACCACGTTATTGCTGGAAGGTAAGCAGCAGCTTTGTGCAAACAGGGCTTACAAGAGCAAGATGAGTGGGATCCACATAGTTGGAACCAAACGCTCTGCAAAATTGCCTACAAAGACTGTAGTTTAGCCAAATTTTCAGTGTTTTGAGCAGCTTCAAGCTTGAATGTGGCATGCAGGTACCCACGTGAATGTCTGTTGGATGGTTACTGCAGACATCCCTCAGCCTTTCAGCATGGGCAGCATTGGGCAGCAGTTCTGTTGGTCTGACCTGCTGAGCTCCTCGCTCCGCAGCTTTCCATCTGCTCACTTCTGGAGGTGGTTGGTGAGAACCAGCTGTGGGCTCAGGATGCTGGCAGGGGTGAGCACCTCCAGCTGTTGCCCAGAGCTGTTTGCAGCAAGCCTGTGCCATGTGGGATTGAATTGGTGGCAGCTGCTGGCAGTGCTGCTTGCAAGGTATGGCACAAATAGGTTTGCCGGGTAGTGAAAGCAGGAATCTGCAGTGAATGCAGAAACCTGATGAAGATTCCTTCCCCTCTGTATTTTGGAAGGCTCAAGTCAAAGATTGGTTTTATTGACCTTTTTGAGAGCCTGTGCCTTACCATTTTCTGTTTCTCGCGCCTGTGCTGTGCTGGTGGCACTGCATTTGCCACCTTTAAGGAGGGGCTGTTGGATGTGTCTGACTGGAACGTGTTGAATTTTTGGTAGGTGAGGTCAGCAGTGGTGAGTTCTGCTCAGAAAGTTTCTGCATGTCTGAGCTCAGCCTGGGGCCCTCCCCAGCAGAGATGCTCTGCAGCAGCTCTGGGTGCCCCTTTCTAACCGCTGATGTTGGGCTGTGCGATGGGTGGCTGCAGACAGCATTGCGTAGAGCCTAAAGCTCTGGGCAGGCTGGACCTGAGCGCGTTGATGTGGGTGTTGTTTTTCTGTTTACTTGCTGCCTGCCAGCGCCTCCAAAAGTTGCTTCTGTCATACCAGCCCAGTACCAATGGAGCAGATGAGTCACGTTCATCTCCTCAGCAGTGGGAGGGCTGTTGCAATCTGGGGTTCTCCACGGCCTCACCCTGTGCTGAGCTGCTCCTGCGGACCTGCGCTTCGCTTCCGCCCATCGCATGTGTGCAAGTGAGGCAGAAGAACTACGATAAAAGCTCTTAAGCAAGTCAGAAGCTGGTGGGATGTGCCCAGGGCTCAGTCCAGCCCCGCAGTGTGAGAGATTTGGAGTGCTTTGTGCTCTGGATGGCTGTGCAGGAAGTCACACTGAAGGGTCTGTGCTGCCGGGAACTCTGTAAGCACCCTGGGAAGATCCGGCGCTGTTAGTGAAGGCGCCAGGCCCTGGCACTGATTGCACCGAGGTTTTGCCTGCTCTCTTTGTGCATTCAGCTGCATCCCATGCAGGGGGAGCTGTCTGACCCTTACAGGCTGAGTAATGCATGGACTCCTTGTTGAGCCGTGGAAGGCTGTGGCTCTGCATGCAGATGTGCAGAGGGCTCCTGTGGTGAATCGCTGCTTTGTGCTGCACTGCTTGTGGCCGGTTGGGCACTGGGACCTCTGCTGGGCTGACATGGTGAAAGGAAGAGTTTAAAAAAAAGAGCTATGAGCCCTGCGATGCTCTGGGGATGTCCCTGCCCTATTCTTTCTCAGCAGGAATTTGAAACTTCCCCATGTCTTGTGTGAGGAGTTTAATATTTCGAATCTCCATGCGTTGCTCCTGTCTACCATGTGCTTCAGCATATTGATTTCACAGGGCTGCCTTTGTGGGTTGCCTTGTAAATGGAGACTTTCTTGCTTTGCCTGGTGGTTGGGAGCTAGGATGCGGTCCTGGAGGTGATCTCCCCTTTGCCAGCAGTGCTGATGTGCTTTGCTGTAAACCCTCAGTGTTTCTGGCTCTGGTCAGTAACTGAGTTCTGCAGTTGATCATTGAGTAAAACCGAGTGTTGCTGTTGGAAGACGCATCTCAGAAAAGAATGATCAAGTGAATTGAAGGTGGAACAGCTGTACAGAGTGACAGAAAAATGCTGTGTGTCATTTCTGAGCACAGCTGGGGGGCTGCAGCCAGAGCAGTATGGGGTTAACGTCTTGTCTGCTCCATCCCTAGGGAATTCCAAGGAAAAACCCTTCCTTCTTGTTCCAAGGAAAGGCTTTAGATGTACTTATCTTGTACTTATCTTGGATGCTTCTTATCTTCTGTAGAATGACAGCCACTGCCTTGTTACTGTGTTGAGGCCACTGCAGAGCTTGTAGCCATGCCTGGGGTTATTCACCAGCTGGGCTGGCACACGGTTGTGCTTCAGGACAAGTACAGGCACACTGATAAGCTCATTGCTAACTCCTCTGGAATGGGTGACCTTCCCAAAGAGCCTTTATCTCTGAGTTTCAGAGAGGAAACTTGCATGAAATTGCATAGATCATTGACTGCAGGGCTGGGTGAGAAACTGCAGTTCCTTTGGAAGCGTGCAGCTTTGGAATGCCACCGCCTGCTAAGCTTGTGAGCATGGTCAGGCTGAGTCACGTGGACTCTTGTCTCCTTTAAAATGTATGCTTCTGCCCTCCGTGCCTTCTATTTGTCCAGAACAGCTTGGAGGCTGTTCTGCATTACAGCCATCCAACGTGCCCAGAGTTTGGTGCTTGCTCAGCTGCCCCTGCTATCCCTGTGGGTCTCCAAGGGATGCTGTGCAGCAGCAGCTTCCCGGGGCCCTCAGCTGGCTGTGCTGCAGGTCTCTGATGTGATGTCTTAGGGTGTTGGCTCAGGTCTTTGTGTCATTGACCAAATCTCCTTGACTACCACTGTAGTGAAAAAGATGTAGCAAAGCTCACTGTAAGACTGTATGGAAGCACGGGTTGATTTTCTTTCAGAACACTGATTTAATCACGCTTGATTGAGGTTTCAGCCCAGTGCTCCCTGCAGGTATCAGCCCAAGCCCTCTTGCTGCTGCTGAGAAAGGAGGAGGCATTTAGCTGACCAGGCGTGTAAAGCTGCTGAACCAGCTGCTGGAAATCACACCCAGCAGTGTGCTGGCAGCCCACGCGTGCCCTGGGGATGTAGGAGACAGTGCAGTCCCTCGTTTTGTCAGTTCAGGATTACATTGCTTGGGGAGGAGAATGGTTAGAGGGAATTAGTACCTGAGAGGAGCAGCTCTGCTCCTTTGGGTCTGCCATGCCTGCCAAGCATGGTGCTAATGGGTGGAGAGAAGCCACAACGTGGAGATTGATCTGCATCCTCAGCTCTGGTTTGCTCTGATATCCACCTGCTGGGAGCTGCCATCAGTGCTGTGCTCTGTGCTTCACCGCAGAGACTTTCAGGCTTCTCACCCTGACTTTGGGAGGTGAGGCATCTGCCAGCCTTCCTTGTTTGTGTGGCAGGTGGCTGTGAATTGGTGATGTTGTTTCTTGTCTGTATACATGGTGGGTACAGGTTGGTCCTGACAGCATCTCTCAAAACAAAACAGGCTTCTCTTTTTCCTTTTTGTGTTCCTAAGCCATGCTGGGCAATGTTTACCCTGGCTTCTCTTTCCTGAGTAGTGTATTACTCATTACTGCTCAAATCCTAGCAAATAAATAAATGATTTTTGCTATGGCAACAAGAAGCCAGTTTCTCAACAGCACAGTGTTCCCCCCAAAAACAGCTTTATTACTCCCAGCTCATTGCTGGGAGTGTTCCTGTGTAGGTGCACGGCCGGGGTTGGACTCTGGTTATGTGACACAGCTCTGCATAAAGCATTCCACTGAGCAAATACTGCTAAATCCCTGCAAACACTCCCGGCTGAAGGCTGCAGTTTTCCTCCCTTGAACAAGACTGGCTCTTGGGACGTGTTTTTCTCCTAAAGAAATAACCCCAGCACCTTTGTGTTCCTGCAAAGCCAGGGCTGCCGTTGCCGAATTCCCAAGTAGTTATTTCCAGCTGCTTCCCAATCTCACAATAAACAGCTCCTCTGCTGTTTGCTTTGCCAGGGTGCGTCCTTGAGAGCTCTGTGGCAGCAGGCTGTAGGGGGGCGGTGTGCTGTGTAGGGGGGGTTTCCACATGGACTGGCTGCTGTGGTGTGGGGCTGGCACTGCTGCAGGTGAACAGCTTAAGCATTGCCTCCTAGAGCATGGCAGGACCTGGCATTGGCTGCGGGCAAACGGGAGCTGCTTGGATTCAGGCCCTCTGTCTCTGGGCGCTGTTTGTGCTGCTCCTGCTGGGGCTCTGCTGCAGGGTGGAGCTGCTTTCTGCCTTCACCCCATGCACAGCTTTAGTCCCGATGGGCCTCAAATCTGTATTTCTTACAGCTTTCCTTCTGTTAGCAGAAAATGAGGAAAACTGAGCTCTGTCTCCCAAGCTCGGATGGCTCAGCAGCTCCATCCCGCAGCGCCCAGCCTGGCAGCGCCGCTTGGCCTCACACAGAGACACATTGTGAGCCATCACTGCTGCCTCGGGCCAGGGAGCATGTAGGTCAGCAGCAGGGCAAAGCCTGGGGAGCAGCACTCGGGTGCTCCAGCACAGGGACGTCTCACTGCAGCCCCATCTCTGAGATGGGATCACCCCCGTGCTGCTGGAAGGCTGCTAAGGGCCACGTGTTGCTCCTCAGCCCGGGGTGCGTTTTGTATGTGAAGGGAAGTGTGGCACATGGGGCAGATGTACTGCATCTCCTTCCTACTGCTGACTGCACAGGATGAAGAGAGACCTACAGAATTAAGCAAGATGGATCCTGCCCCTTAATTCTGTTTGTAACCCTATTAGCTTAGTTTTAAATGGAGTTAGGAGTAAGGGGATCAAAACACCCTTTTAGGCAGCTTGTCCTGAACCCTGATCCGCATTGGCTAGATACTCCCCTATTTTTGGCTTAAACATATTCCTGGCAGGCTTATCCTCCTTGTTTGTCTGTGTTGTGTGCTGGCATCAGCAGTTCTTCTCTGCTCCTTGGTGTTTATTTTCTTGGTGTACTTACAAAGAGCTTAAACACTTTTCCTCGACCTCTGTTTTTGTTAGTGTCAGCAGGCTGAATGTCAGCTCCACCTGCCCAAGAAAGGTGAATTGATTGTAACCAGATCTTCAAAGCTGTAGGTAATGATTAGGACAGCTCTGAACCTGGAAGACTACATCTGGAGTCACTGTGTCAGAGTTTGGCCTTTCTGCTCTGGGAAATTTGTGCCTTCTGCTTTTATTCACAGGTGATGAAGTTTTCACCATTGCTGAAGTCGTAAGGAGGCTCTTAGATCAAGGGTTGGTCTAAAAACACCCACCCATGTGTAGGGTGCTTGCTGTCTGACTTTCTAAACAACCCATACTGTTGTTCTGTTGTTTCCCTTGACTGTGTTGCAAGTTGGAGTCATCTTCATTTGTCAGCCTCTCAGTTATCATGCGAAGGTCATTAGTGAGAGTACTTAATAAGACTGGTTTTGAAACAGAACCTTAAGGAGCTCCCACTTATCTGGCATTTCTGCTCTTTGATATGGGCTGTTACCATCTTTCCCTTAGCTGCTTCTGTTTTCTGATTTCTGATATTAATCTGTTCTTTGCCTAGTGAATAGTTTCTTACCGTGATGTCCTCTCCAAAATGTCCTGACTGCTGGTGTTTCTAGCGTGCAGGAACTCAAAGGAGTGGGCAGGTGGTAAGAGGTGTCACCTTTTCAACATGAGGATGTTTTCCTTTCCTCCTTGGCAGCCCCACTTCCTCCTAGGGATGTGCAGCAGAGCCCTGCTGGCATCGCAGTGTGAGGTGGCGGCAAGAAGCCAAAGTACTCTGCACCTCTGGGGCTCCTGACTGTCCCGTCCGTTTGGCTGTCTGCCTCTGTGCTTCCTCTCAGCACAGTGAGAGATTCAGCAGGGCATGTGGGGAAAGGCATGGGAGGGCACAGTGCCTTCCTTACAGGATGGTGGAGCTTTGGGGTGGAGGTGCTCTGCCAGTGCAAACGTTGGGAGCGATGGTTTCTTAGGCTGCTTTCTAACAATTCTCCTTGGCTGTTGTCTAGATGAAGATCTCTTTCAATGAGACGAGTTTGCAGACCATGTTTGAGTATCCATCCGAGAACTCACTGGTGGAAGAGGAGGAGGAGGAGGAGGAAGGACACACTTCTGAAACAGAGGAGGACAAATCTCACACCTTTCACATTCCACGCCCGAACAGCACTTTGCATCCCAGTGCAGCTAATGCAGGTGGGTGAGGCACAGCTACTGCAGGGCTACTGGTGGTGTCTGTCCCTGTCTGTGTTGCCTCCAGCCGTAATGTGCCCCAGACAGCTGGAAATGTTAGCAGAGGTCATATGACAGCAGAATTGGTTTCAGTGGGGACAGAGTTTGAAACCAGATCAGGGAATTCCCAGACCTCTCTTGCGTGAGATGCAGTGAACCTTAAAAATGTAAAACTTAAAAATACCCTTTATGCTGAGAGGGTTGGTGCTGCTGCAGTGTCTGCTTGCAGCTCTGGGCAGGGGAACTGACAGCCACTGCAGAGCATGGCACAGGCTTGTAACTGCAGCAGGAACAGGATCCTTGCCCGTCCTGCAGATGGGCAGCTTCCATCCTGTTCCTGCCAGAGTCATGACCCCTCTTCCTTTTGGGGTGGCGTGAGTGGCATTCATGTCAGCTTTGTCCTTGCAGCAGATCTATCCAGCTACACCCCAAAGCACTCTGTGAAGTTCAGCAAGTGGCAAGTGCAGAAGTATGAGGAGATGCCTGCTAAGGGACCCCTCCTGAAGGAAGCTGATTCCCATGGGAACCAAGTTATGGTGAGGCTTCAGAGTGGTTTCTGCCTTTGTTCTGGGGTGCTCTCCCTCTGGGCAGCGGGTGGGACAGGATCTGCCTTCTCCAGTGCACATCTGATAGCTGTGGCACACCTCCCGGGCAGTGGGAAGAGATTAATGCAAGCTGCCACTGCCACCAGCTGCCCTACCTCCTGTGTGTGTGAAAGGCAGTGGTAAGGCAGCTGGCACGCTTTGTGCTGCAGGGCACTTCTGGAGGGGAATTAAAATACTCACCAGCCCAAGGCAAGGTGGCACCGCAGCCCTCACCACCAGAGGCATGTGTCCTTGTTTGCTTTCGATTTGGTGACGATTCCATTTCAACTGTGCTTTCTCCACAGCTCACCCCAGCTGAGAAGGGCGGACTCTCTGACTTCAGCAGCGAGCCTGCGCTGTACTTCTGATTGCTCCATCTGTGAGCCTGCAGCAGCAGCTGCTGGGCAGAGCCTGGCAGTGCACCGTGGAAACCAACGCCTGGGTCCCTCCCTCATCGCAGTCTTCACAGCGTCCTGATGCCAAGGGTGGACTTGATGCCATTGGGCGTCTCTGGAGAATATTTGCACTGGGTTCTGGGTCCTACACGACTGGTTTTTTAATGCGTATGGTTTATTCTCCTTGTGGCCTTGCATATTCCTTGTTCAAGATCAGCTGTCCATTAGACAGGTATCTTAAAGCAGTGTGTAACCCCAGGATGGATGTAGATTCTCTCAGTGCTTATGACTGTGCTCATCCAAGTGCTGAATGAGGCCTGGACAGCATTTTTGTAACACTTCTCTCATGAGAGGCCCCAGTGAAGAAAGCTGTGGCAGGTGGCTGGACTCACTGCACTGGTTCTGACAGCCAGGTTACAGGGGCTGGAAGAACTGCTAAAGGTTCATGGGTTGTTCTCAGTGTGGTTTTGGGTCTAGTTTCACTGAACTGTCATGGAATTTATGTGCCAGTTAGGCACTTGTGAAGGAAGCTGAATGCACTGTGTGGGTGATGGGGAGGGGAATAAATGCCTTCAGCATTAGGTGTCACTTTTGCACTGGCAGCAGGAAGCACCCAGTCCAGTTTGAGCCTTGTGAAGGTTCCCAAACATTGGCCATAGTTTTGATCTCTCTGTAACTGCCTCTGCTCTCCAGTCTCTACTGCTAATTGTGCTTGTTTGCCAGTTGCTCTTGTTTTGTTTTGGTATCTAATGGGGCCAGGCCTTAGATTTGTGTCTTAGGTGGTGGGGAGACTTGCTTCTTGCCTTGCTCACTCTATTTCTCTATGCAAAGCACACGAGGGCCATTTCACTCCTTCCTTCTACAGAACTTGAACAAGGAATATGATTTTTTTTTCTAGTATTTTTATAGTTCTGTTGTAATTGTTTGATGCAGCCAATATGCAAAGGAATCTGCTAGACTCTTCCATTTAAATTTTCTACAACTGTACACTCAGGGTCAAAATTACACTCTGGAAAAGACTGAACACTGCTGCTAATGTGATCTGTATTTCTGGGATTAAAAGAGATGCAGTTGGAATAGACACAGCCTCTTTGGGCTTTATGAAAAGGGCAGTGCCCCACGCGTGGCTCCATCTGAAGGACCAGGCTGCCATCTTTTGGTGATGTTTGGCTTTTGTTGGTTTGTGTGTTATATACAATGTCTAGCCGAGCTGACACTGATCTACGATCTGAAAATGTTCTTTATACTTTTTAACATCTTGTACTGTGGAAAGCTCGGGCCGTGAGCTTAGGGCAGCTCCAGCTCCTGAGCTGCAGAGTAACAAATGGGTAAGGGGTGAAGCCAGAGCTGCCTGTCCTGGCTTCGTTCTGCTGTGGGTCAATGAGGGATGCTGAATGATATCCTGCAGCCTGCTCTGCTGCCTTCAGCCAACTGAAGTGCTGCTGTGGGTGCTGATTCCAGTGCAGGAGTTCTTTGCCCACCCCTTCCCTCGTGGACAGGCCTGTGGTGCTCTGCTGGGAGGGGGTGACGTTCAGCAGTTCTCTAATACCAAAATGCTTCTGAAAGGAAAATATACTCCTGCAACACACTTTTATTAACGGTGGCATCCTTGTACCACCACAGCAGCTGCCCCCAACCAAGGGGCCGGGCCAGGCTGGAGAACAGCTTTAGGAATGCTTTTGTCCACGTGTTTGTTTTGAAGTGCTTGCAGACTCACTGGCTTTGCTAGCATTCCCAATTTCTCCCTTCAGGGCATCTAGCAATGTCTGAGAACTCTCCAGAATCTGAGAAAGAAGGAAATAAAAACAGCTTATGTATTTTTTTTTTGTATCAACTAAACAGTTCTCTTTGAGTTCAGCTGATGTAGGGAGGGATCCTCCACCCCTGAGAGCAATACAAAACGGAGAATTTTGGTGTTCTGTCTCACTGCAGGGATGGCTGTGCAGGAATTTCTCTTGTTACACCCATATTCTGAATTTAAAAAATCCTCAAGCCATTTATCTGTCTTGAACACAAAGCAGAGACCTTCCTGCAGCAGGTTGGGGATTGAAGTTTACTTTTTGGAGCAGTATTAAAATTGCAGGCAGCAGACCCAATGTTTTCCACTACTAAACCTGCACACTTCAAGTTTCTTACTTCGATAGGTAACCCCAAAATGACCTTAAATGAGACTAAATCTTGCTCCTTTAATTCATTTTCTTCTGTTTTTAGCACGTATTTTATATAATCTAACACTCCCACCTGTTGTGCCCTAGGAGACCAGGTAACACCAGGCTTAGATCTCGCTGTGTGCAGCTCACCTCTTTACAGCAGACAGCTGTAACAGAATGTGGCTGCTGCAGTGCCAGCGATCGTCTGTACTCATTCCTATGGCCTTACAGGAGTGTGAAATGGTCAGAGGTGAAGAGCCCTGCAGGAGCAGAGGGGCAGGACATGTGGGATCTTGCTGCCTTGTCCCCGTGGCAGAACATGGTGGATGGCTTAGGGTGAGTCCTGAGACTCCCATGGGCCAGAGAAGGGCAAGGGGCACAGTTGTACACAGGAGACCTGAATGCACAGGAAAGGGACTCTGCTCCTCCTTTCTGCCTGCAGGATGACTGTGTTTCCTCGCCCCTCAGCTTTTTACCTGCTGTGTCTTTGTCTCCTAATGTCAATAAACACGGATTTGTTTGTAGGATAGGGAGTTGTGGTTTGTATCTCAGGGAAGGTTTCTTTTCGAACCTGTGCTGTTTGTGGTGTAACTTTACAACACCACTTCTAAGCTGTTCCATTCTCGTACAAGTTCTCCCCAAACCTTTGGGCCATGAAGCACTTCCTTACACCACCTTCCCTTCCGTACAGCATTCAGAAATGCCCTGCATGTCTTCTGAGGCTCTGTGCTCCTGAAAAGCCTGGTGGGCTTGACATCCCCGTGGGTGTCATCACAGCACTGCGAGGAGCTTGGTGGTGAGCAGTGCTCTGCTGGGAGCTCTTATCTGTGTGCTGGCTGAGCGAGGCAGCAGGGCTGTGCCCTTGTGTGCTGTGTTGGGGTGTGTGTGATGGAAGCCTTGACTCTTCACAGTTATTAGCAGCTAATGTGGGAGATGCAGAGGGCCGACCAGGATCATCAGGCATTAGAGAGACTGGGGTAAAATAATGGTGGCTGAACCAACTTCTCTTTTAGTGTTGGCTAATGAATATTCTACTAATGAGTGAATTGTGGCTGCTGGTTACATCCCTACTTCCCATGTTTAGCTCTGGGCTGGGTGGGTGAGGAGGATGCCATGCTTACAAAGACACACGGGAGAAAGGAAAATGTAGGCAACTACCTGGAAAAAAACTTTTATTTCTTAAAGAAGAGCTGACTGGGGCTTGAATTAAGAAGTGAACTGAGCTGTTACCCTGTATGCAATCATAGAATCATTTGAGTTGGAAAGGCCCCTTAAAGGCCATCAGGTCCCACTCCCTGCATTGCACAGGGACACCCACAGCTCCAGCAGTGCTCAGAGCCCCAGCAGCCTGACCTTGGCTGTCTGCAGGGATGGGGCACCACCAGCTCTCTGTGCAACCTGTGCAGTGCCTCACTGCCCTGAGTGTAAAAACCTTTTCCCTTATATCCAGTCCAAATCTCCCCCTTGCAGTTGGAAACCATTTCCCCTTGTGCTATCACAACGAAACCTGCTAAAGTCGGTCCCCTTCTATAATATCAGACATTACTGCAATCCCATCTTGTTCGGAAACATTTTCTAGCTATCCAAAGCTTTTTCATCTAGAGGAGTTTGCATCTTCGGGACAGAAGGCCTTCGGAAGATATTCCCATCCCCAGCGAGAGGCTGTCAGCAGGGACGAGGCACCGCCTTTCTGCGCAACCCTCGCAGCGCCCCCCGCCCTCTCTACACAAACTCACTACACGAACTTCTTCCTTCTCCCTAACTCCACCTCCCGTCCGCAGCTGGCAGCGCCGATCCCTGCCGGCCGTACCTTGCCGTATGCCGCCTCGCTCTCAGCGATGCTGGCGTCCAGCTGGCAGCGCGCACTCAGATGCCGGGCCGTGCGCTCGGAGCTCCGTGCCAAGCGCTCCGTGAGCGCCGCGATGCGGCTCTGCAACCGTCCGCGCTCCGCCTCCTCCTCCCGGATCCGTTCGCTCAGCTCATCCCGCCGGGCGCGGAGCTCCGCCAGCGCTGCTCGGGACGACCGTGCGTGTGATCACCGAGCTCACGCAACCCCCGTCGCCCCCCTCCGGCCCCGCTCACCCACCCTCCAGCAGCTCGCCGTTGTACCCTCGCAGCGCTTCCCCCTCTCCGCTCATCGCGCGGCCCCAACGGCGGCGCGGCGCTCCGCCCCTTCCTGCGGGACATGGAGGCGGCGGGCGCGGGGCTGTCCGCGGCGTGGAGCTCCGTCAGCGCCGCTTTGGTGCCGCCCGCCGCGCTGGGGCTGGTGAGCGGGGAGCGGGACCGCGGGGGGACGGGAAGAACGGGGCTGTGCGGGGTCCCGGCAGCCCGGTGGTGGCCGCCGCGTGGGTGTCGGGCTGAGGGCCCCCCGGCACGCCGCCGTGTGAGGGATGCCGAACGTTCCGGGAGGAAGGAGGTGATCCTGGGCTGCGCGTGGGTTGGTCGTGACGAAAGTGACGCCTTCTGTTGTGTTCTGTGGAAGCTGTAATTAGATATAAAGAGATGGTAGTGGCAGTAGAGCTGCTCGCGCTAAATTCTCAGCTGTCTTTCAGTGTGCAGCCACCACCGTTAGCTCTGCGTTTTCAGCAGTGATGAACAGTAGCTGTGTGCTGCCCTCGTTCATAAGCAGCTGCACAGCTGGGGGTGACCACTGCCCCTGTCACTGCTGCTGAAATGCACCACCCACCCCTCACTGTGCTCACATCCACTTTTTTTTCTCTCCACAAGCATTGATAAATGTCACCGGGTGCCATTTTCTCCATGCAGAGGAATTCAGTTCCACCCTTTGCTCCTTGCACTTACATGTCAGACACATGGCGATGGCATATTGGTGGGAAGGTTCAGCCTCTGCTGCCATCCCACCCACATCCCCCTCTGACACAGTGGGCCAATACAATAAAATAGGAGGCATTACTTTCGGAACAGCCCTCATAAACTATGTAATACAGTTAATGTCTACAAGCGATAAAACTGATTTTAATCCAGTCGCGTTGGGTTTGTGGGATGGGCAGAGCCCACACATCATCACTCTGTGGGCTGTGGGTCCCTTCTGGCACATGTCTGCCTGCAGAGTCAGAATGGTTGGGTTGGAAGAGTCCTTACAGATCACAGCATGGTTGGGTTGGAAGGGTCCTTACAGGTCAGAGAACCATAGAATGGTTGGGTTGGAAAGGTCCTCATAGATCGCAGCACTGTCAGGTTGGAAGAATCCTTATAGATGGCAACATGTTTGGGTTAGAAGGGTCCTCTATAGATGACAGAACCACAGAATGGTTGGATTGGAAGAATCCTTACAGCCCACCCACCCTGTGCTGTGGGCTGGCTGCCCCACACCGTGCCCAGAGCCTCACCCATGGCTGTGGGCACCTCCGGGGATGGGACATAAAGAAGCAGCTGTGTGCTCAACGCGTCCCCTCTGCTCCCCAGGCGGCAGCACGGTGTGACCCGCTGTGCCCACTGCAGGATGCTGAGCTGCGTGGCGCCCTGGAGGTGCTGCGCTGCTATGGGCTGCACACTGCGGTGGAGGAGTGGTTCCTGGAGGTGCTGCAGACCGACCTGCAGGCCCACATCGCTCCCGAGTTCTGGAACTGCATCGGCCAATACGAGAACACGGCGGAGGAGCAGCAGTGCTCCGCGCTCCTCCTGGATGCATTTTGTCTTCTCAAGTGCCGCCTTGAGCCCTACCTGAGCAGCATGGAGCTCCTGGAGGGCTGGACCAAGGCAGGCCTGCTCCTGGGGACGGGCGCTCAGACGCTGCGGGAGAAGGTGTACACCATGTTCAAAGCCATCCTTTTCTTCTCCACCACCAAGCCCTTCCAGGAGATGATCCAGCAGTTCTACAGCCGCACCTTCCGGATATACATGAGGCAGTGGAAGAAGGGAGAAGAAGGAATGAACGAATGTGAGAGCAGCATGAGTGAGGCTGAGCAGGAGAGCGACACGGAGGAGAGCGGAGGAGAGAGCGCTGCGTGCACGGGCTGTGGCAGCAGGAGGGAGCAGTGCTGGTGTCCCACGGCCATGGAGCGGTTCCGGCAGCTCAATGACATTCTGTATGTATGGCACAGGGCTGCCCCACAAGCAGGAAGTCCTGTGAGGGCAGCAGCCCTGGGTTGATACATGGCTGAGAAATGGAGGAGCTGTGCGTGATGTTATACCCTGGGTAGGGGTCCTGGGTTGGGATCTTCTCACGTGGGTTCTGCAGCTGCTTGCTGGCTGCTGACTGAACTGGAGTGGTCCTTTGGGGAGAAGTGCCTCTCGCTGGGGATGGGAATATCTTCCAAAGGCCTTCCAAGGTCCCAAAGAAACAAACTCCTCTAGAAAATGTTTCTGAATAAGATGGGATTGCAGTAATGTCTTATATTATAGAAGGGGACAAACTTTAGCAGGTTTTGTTGTGATAGCACAAGGGAAAATGATTTCCAGCTACAAGAGGGGAGATTTGGACTGGATATAAGGGAGAAGTTGTTTACAGTAAGGGCAGTGAGGCACTGCACAGGTTGCACAGAGAGCTGGTGGTGCCCCATCCCTGCAGACAGCCAAGGTCAGGCTGTTGGGGCTCTGAGCACTGCTGGAGCTGTGGCTGTCCCTGAGCACTGCAGGGAGTGGGACCTGATGGCCTTTAACAGTTCTGTGATTCTACAATCCTAAGACAGTGTTTCTGAAAAAGATCTGATAGCATTCATGTGACGTATTGTGTGAGTAGTGCATCACTGCCAGCCATCAGAGTGCTTAAATTAAGAGCTATGCCTTCACCTGTGCACCATGTGGCAGCAGGTGCTCTCTGTTAGTTCGATTTTCTCTGTGTGCTTTTGCTTCTGCTCACTCACTCTGGTCTCTGTGTCCGCAGCCGCCAGCTGAATTTGCTGGAGAGAGTGAGTGCTGATGCTGTGACCACCATCCTGCACAGGATGATCAAGGAGAGGATGGAGCGGCGATGCCGGGGTGAATATGAGCACTCCTTCCTGAACGAGTTCCAGGAGGTAAGGAAGGCCCTGGCTTTGGAGGTGTGGAGCTGCTCCTGTTCCTGCTGCTAAATTCCCAACTCCTCCTCAATTCCCCAGTCCTGGGCTGTGACTTCCACCACCCCTGGCAGAAGAGGAGTGGTTAAAACTTGGCATTTTAGATTTGTGCTGGAGGAGAGGGTCTGCTCTGCCCTACACACAGCAGGTCGTTACGTTTCACCTGGCAATGGCCCTATTGGCCCCGTCTGCCTCCAGCACAAGAAGGGCATGGAGCTCTTGCAACATATCCACAGAAGGGCCACTAAGATGATCAGAGGGCTGGAGCTCCTCTCCTATGAGGAAAGGTTGAGGGGACTGGGCTTGTTGAGCTTGGAGAAGAGGAGGCTGCAGGGAGACCTTATGGTGGCCTTCCTGTACTTGAAGGGAGCGTATGAACAGGAGGGGGAACGGCTGTTTGTGAGGGTGGATGGTGATGGGACAAGGGGAATGGTTTTAAAGTGAGACAGGGGAGGTTGAGGTTGGATGTTAGGAGGAAGTTTTTCCCCCAGAGGGTGGTGAGGCACTGGAACAGGTTGCCCAAGGAGGCTGTGGATGCCCCATCCCTGCAGGCATTCAAGGCCAGGCTGGATGTGGTACTGGGCAGCCTGGGCTGCTGGTTGGTGACCTGCGCATAGCAGGGGTTGGAACTGGATGAGCATTGTGCTCCTTTGCAACACAGGCCATTCTGTGATTCTATTAATGAAGGAATTTTGGTGGTTCTGTTCTACCAACACTGTGAAGGCAGTATGCCATGCAGCTGCAGCCAGCCTTCCCTGCGTGTAGATGGGAGTTTGTGTGGCTGTTTTCAGTCCTAAATTGCTTGCACCCCTTTAAAACAGGAAGCAGTGTAGGCAGGTAGTGTTCTTGCAACTCCTCAGTTCTCTTGCTGCTGCCTTGCACCGAGTTTGTGTGGAGGTCTTTGCTCTGTATGACCTTAAAGCTCCTCTCAAGGTTCTGGCTGCTCTGGGACGCAGGCTGTGCTCTGCACGCTCGCTCTGTGCTCTTTGTTCCTTGATGCATGGCTTTACGTTGGTCTGCGCTGACGAACAATGTGTGAGGTCAGGTTGCCATGCGAACCAGGCAGCTCCGTGCTGTTGTCCTGGTTTCCTCACTGTGTGCCATGCTGGGTGCTTTTGTTGTCTGCAAATGCTGGCAGTGATTTGGTGTTTACTTTTCTACAGTTGCTGTGCAACACTTTCTTCTCTGGCTCTGCTGCAAAGGGCACTGAGAGACAAATTCCTAGGGAGCATGGTTGGATAAAGGTGTTCCTCACCATCGAGGTGCTTTGCATTGATGATTGCCCTTTCCTTTTGCTCTTTGGAATGCTTTTCAGCTTTCCCAGTATTGCCCAGGACTGATGCTTGGGTGCTCTGTGCTGCAGCAGGTTCTTGTGCCTTGTAGTCCTATGGGCAGAACTCATGCACTCCTCCAGTCATTGGTCAAGCAGACAACCAAGCATTAACATTGGCACCCCACACCCAAACTCAGCATTTTTCAGGCTGCCCAAACCTGGTTATCAAAACATAATAGCACCTAATAACTATTAATACTCAAGTACTGCCTCAAGTAGTGACACTGGAGAATGGGCAGGAGAGTGATGATGACATCTCAGAACCAGGGGACTGGATCCTGACCCAGTTGATGCAGATCCAGGTTAATTAAGAGCAGGCATCAAGGTGGCCCGCTGTCTCCCCATGGCTGGTTGTAGTCTTGAGTCACACATTTGGTTGTGCCAGTCTGGGCTGGGGCTTTGCTCATCTCACTTTTCTCTCTGCTGCATTTCAATAGGGAAATCAAGTTCCAAGTGCTGATCCTCAGACATCATCAGGCATTTGCCATCTTAGGAAGAAAATAAACCCATTTGTTCTGAATATCTGGATGTAGTGGTTGGGTGCATTTGAATTATGACAAATATGACAAAGTAGAAAATGAAATCTCCAGTATATAAAATCAGCCTCTGATGCTCTTTGATCGGGTTGTAGGATATTGTTATGAAAGGGCTGGGTTGGTATTTGGGGCCTTGTCTCAGTGTCTGCGTTTGGTTGGTAGGTCTGGGAGTGTTTGGGGATGGCTTGCTTGTTCTTTATTGATTTCAGGAACCACTGAAGTTCTGGGTGAGGGTGCTGAGCTGAGCACTTTGCTGC